CTTCAGCCCCTAATCGTAATAATTGGGGCTCTCCAACGAAAGAGCACGGACCATAGCCACAGAGAGTCGCGATCTACGGTCCGTCAGAGAGGAGGCTCCGCCTTCTTCCCTCTGTGTTGGATGTATATTTTGTGTATATTTGTAGATATTGTACTCTCAAATTGCAAATGGAGATGTGGGTACTCCATCTTTCTTATCTTCATTTTTTTTTAAAAACAAGTTTTATTAATTTTTTCAAAAACAAACAAATCATCATTAGCCATTACATACTTAAACCTTTTTCCATTATAAATTTAACAAGTCAGATAAAACCTTAATTCTATTTTAAACCATTTCCATAAAGCATACAAAAACCTCTTATCCAGTTTCTCTTTACCTCTCTCTACTCCTATTCAGTTTCATTATTATTGTTTCATCTATTTCTTTCTGACTTGACCACCATCATTCCCATTCTATACCTCTGCAAGGTTCCACTAATTCTCCCAAAAACATAAACACACAACACATATAACATAAAAGAAAAACAAAAAAAAAAATCTTTTAGGAAAGTAACTTGGCCCCAGATATCTCTCTCTTCATGAACTTCAATTATATTCATGCTCATCTTACATATCATTACTTATTTTATCTACCATTCTAAGTCTTCTATATTAACTTCTCCACACATTTCACTCTTCTTAATTCTATCTTAATTAATCCATCTTAATTTGAATCATTACATTTGTATCTTTTGTCCATTCTTTATTGTCCCTTATAATAAAAAAAAAAGAGAATTTCTCCTGAAATCACTAATCAGAGTATGATGCCTTTCTGTCTCCCCTCTAAATTAATCAAATTAACATTTAAAATAACACCCAGGACCCAATCCGATTCTGCTTGGTACATTCTATCTAAATAGTAAATCCAAAATAATTAAATACATAGTTAAACAGTAAATCTAAATGTTGAATCTTATAACATTCCCATTGTCTTTTCCAAAAACAAATGCTATAATAAAAATTTTATAATAACATCAATATCATAACCTTATTAAACTCTTTAATTAAAACTCAATATTCTAAACCTTCCCTTTAATATTATTAAATTTAAAATCAATCATTACTAAACATTTCAACATTTTAATCTCTTATCAACTCTTAAACCATTTTAATTTTCTATTTCTAATACAATGCTACAATATCATCTTATGTACCTTGCAAAACCTTTTTTAAAGAATTTATACTTTACCCTTTATCCCTAAAAAAGATTCCTTTTTTCCCATCTAATTTCAAAACTTTGTAGCTTTTCTCCACCATTTTCCTTCCTTTCTTCCCCCACCAAACCTTTCTACCCCCCCTTCTTCTAGCCTCTGCCTTACTGGCTTCCCTTCTCTGTTGTGTTCCTTTTCCCTTTTGTTTACTATCATTATGTTGATTTTGCACCTTATTTTTCCCCTTCTTAAATGTTTTTTTAGATCTTAAGTCCTTCATTTCTCTTCCTTTCCCTCTTCCTTCTTTCTTGGTTAAATTCTGAAATTCATTAAAGATGGCTTCTTCCTCTCCTTCTTCTTCTTCTGCTGTCTTCATCTGCTGTAATGTTTGTTGATAGTTAGCAAGCGCCATTTCTAAGAAAAGGAAGGCTTCCCTCACAGCATCTCCATTTTTTTTGTTTGCTCATATTCTTTTCTCAGTTCCTCAACAGAAAAAGCCATTATAAATCTTTTCTTCTCTTTTCTTTTCCCCTTCTTTCTTCCTACAACAACCAAGATATTTCAAAAAAATAAAAATAAAACAGTCCCAAAGTTATCAATCAGTCCAAGCCAAGGCAAAGTTCTCACTTTCTCTTCCTGGGGTAGTATCAATCAGAAGAAAAGAAAGTACAAATCTGTTTCTTAAAGTCTTATTGCAATATATTTCAGTCTTCAAATCCTTAAGGCATCTCCTCCAACAGTCTTAGCACACAAATATTTTTTTTAGTCCTCTCCCTTCTCACTTATCACTTAAAGCCAGTTTTTACCTAAAAAAAAATAATAGGTTTCTTACTATCCACTTGTTAAATCCGTAGAGAAGGAGAGTAAACTTTCCTTTCAGCACCACCAAGCTGCCGCTTATTTTCTCTTCTAAAAGGTATCATTCAGAAAGCCATAATTTCCAGGAGTTTTGTTAAATATATCTTAGAGTCCCGGGGACCAAGAAAAACTTTCTCTTTTCAAAAGCTTTCTCCACTTCCTCCTGCGCATTCTTACCCGGCTGCCAGCTTCTTTGTGGCGGCCATTGCAGACCGCCGCTGCACCGTCTTGGGAAAAGGGGGTTCTGCCGGCCGGGGAGGGGGTCTGCAACACCCCCAAACCCCTTCCCGGATCCCCCCTATCTTCAGCTACCCCTGCAGGGTAGCCTAGCTCCGAACCCGTCCGGATCGGAGCACCAAAAACGGCTAGCGCAGCAGGGATCGCGCAGAGTCGCAAATCCCTGCCGCTCGCGAAGCCGACAAACCGGAAGTTCCTTATCTTCATTTTTAAGTGCTTTGGTTTTATTGCATTGCGAACAGTTGCTGGGGTGCATCCAGTTTCATTGTACTTGTACAATGACAATAAAGTTCTTCTAATCTAATCTTATAGCTTTTAGTGCAATACCACAAACTTTTCTTAAGTTTAGATCTGAAAACTGTTAAGTAGCACTAAATAATTTAATATGTCAATAAACCTCACAAGCTTTATTTGTTATGCAAGTAACACAAAATGTTTAGTGAAATGTTCAGGGAGGAAATTCTGTGTTTCAATTGTCACTGCAGAGTGATCTTTCTCCATGATAATCACCTAAGATAATTAGGTATAGAGAGCCAGAACAGTTTCTGTAGATTTATTAATTTACCTGCTATATTTGCTAACAGCTCAATCTCATACTCCGCACAATATACAATTGTAAAAACAGTTTTAAAACTGTTGTAAAAACAGAATATTATAATACGGTAATATTCCATTAAAAATTAAACAAAAATATACATGTGTGAAGGAAGACCCATGCACTAATTATCTGGAGCAGAAAGTGTTCACAACTTGCTTAAATGCAAGAAGGTAACTTCTGATACTTTTTGACATTTGAACTATGCCTGGAAATAATCTAGTTATTAGTGCATCAGTGGGTTAGCCATGCAAAACAGAACCCTTCAAAGGACACACTCCACCCTATGAATCAGGTTACCCTATCTAAGGACAACCCTAAAGTGTTAGGGTTTTAATGATTAATGGCACAGGGTGAGGATATATTCATTCTTAAACTGGACAGCCCATGATCTTATCAGACTTTTCAGAATAATCAAGGGCTTCATTCAATTTGTGTCCTATTCTGTAATAACCAATATAATATTACTTAATTTTAATATTGTATAACCTTCATCTTCTTTATTTTAAGAAGTGGAGACTGAACTTAGAATGGCTACCTGTTTAAGAAGACAGAGATGGCATTACGGTAGGTGGTTTTCCAAATTTTGTGCTGGATGACTCCAACAGTTGACTCTTTCTCATGTTAGTTGGAGTTGGAATTCAAAATCTGGAAAATAAGAATCAGAGGTGGCATTCAGCAGGTTCTGACCAGTTCTGGAGAACCGGTAGCGGAAATTTTGAGTAGTTCGGAGAACAGGCAAATACCACCTCTGACTGGAGATTTTACAGTATCCTTCCTCTGCCACGCCCACCAAGCCACACCCACAGAACCGGCAGTAAAAAATTTTTGAATCCCACTACTGATCAGAATGCTTATCCGATTCAGAATACCACCATAAAAGATAAACACTTGATGCTATTCCCACGTATAGGCAAGGAGAAAAACGGCTCTTGTTGATTTTATGCCTGTCATGCAATTGCTGAAAACTGAGACTGCCCTTATAAAAGCATCCAACCTCCATAACTTGTGGATATTTCAACTTCAGATCCCTCCATTCCTAGCCAGTTCTGGTCATACTGGCTGGGAATCCAGGGAATCGAAAGCCCATACATTGTGGGAGCACCAGGTTGGCAAAGACCTCCTGGCTCATATATTAAGATTGACAGGATGTCAATTTGGCACATTTAAAGAAACAGATCGATCATTCGATATATCCATATATAACATAGGGACCTTAGAGCTCTTCTAGGCCAACCCCTTTCTCAAGGCAGAAGACTTATACCATCCTAGTCAAATGGTTGCCCATTTCTCAGATCTAATCGGATCTAGTTTAGCCAGATCTAGTTTAGTAACCTGTCTCATCCAGTTTAACAAAGTCAGATCTAATTAAGCACCTGGTCGGATCTAGTTTAGCAACCATTTGGATCTAGTTTAATTGGATCCAGTTTACAATCTAGTCGGATCTAGTTTAGCTGGATCTGGTTTACCAACCAGTTGGATCTGGTTTAGCAAAGTCGGGTCTAGTTTAACATCTAGTTGGATCTAGTTTAGCCGGATCTAGTTTAGCATCTAGTCCAGAGGTCTCCAAACTTGGCAACTTTAAGACTTGTGGACTTCAACTCCCAGAATTCTCCAGCCAGCATAGCTTCTAGATTCTAGACTAGATTCTCCAGCATAGCTGGCTGGAGAATTCTGGGAGTTGAAGTCCACAAGTCTTAAAGTTGCCAAGTTTGGAGACCCCTGATCTAGTCGGATCTACTTTAGTCGGATCTACTTTAGCATCCTGAAAACCTACAGGAGTTTAGGGGGAAAACAGTGTTTCCATCTAATGATCCGATTAGCCGCGGAGGTATCTTCTGAATTTCCTCCCGCCACCAGCCGCCTCATCCCAGTACCTGCGGCTCGGTCGCCGTCTCCCTCCCAGTCCCCTCCCCTCCCCTCTTGCAAGTACGGCGAGAGGCGAGGGACAAGCCTTCCGCGTTTAAGACCAGGGACGCCGGCTGCGCTTGACAACTACCGGTATTTCTACCGGGGACGCGAAGGCCGCCGTCCCAGGCGCCCGGACTCCGCCTCTCGAAATGCTACGGTGGCTAATAGGAGCGGGCCGCGAGCCGCAAGGGTTGGCCGAGGTAAAAGCCCGCGATGGGTCGTGAGGGGCGTTGATAAGTAGAAGTGCGGCGCGGCAACGGACCCCTTCGTTTTCCTGTCCTGACAAAGGGAGGATCTGGCGCATTTTGTTTATTTTATTTATGTCTGGTGGACGCAGCGCTGCACCTGCGTTGAGGAAATCAGAGCTCCCCCCCCTCCCCCGATGCGTAGGCCAGTTACGCAGCCTTGAGCTGTGGCAAGTGGTAGTTTTCTCCAAGCCCCCCAAAGAGTTCCCACATTGCTGGGAATTAGGGAAGCTGTGCTTTTCTTTTTTTAAGAGACCTCCACGTTGCGAAAGACCGACACCCCCCACCCCCACCTTGGTAACCATTATCCCTGTAGTTGGTTTGCTCAAAGTAGGAGAATCGCCTCTTATTTTGTTCAGACCGAGTTCCTGCTCCTTCTGTGTGTTTGTCTTCGTGAATATGAAACTGAATGGCGCAACTACTCTCTTCTTCCTCTTTTAAAAGAAAGGACTAAAGAAAACAGAGGCAAATGACTGAGGAAACATGGAGACAAATGGTTAAAAGTGAGAGAGCACTCTTGAGAAAAGAAACATGGATTTAAAATGGGAAATGGATGAGATTCAGCTTCATAGAATAAATGCACCCCTTTTTCAATGGAAACGACATGAGTTTAACAGGCACCCAGAAGACTTCAGGACTTGGTTGACTAGTTTTCCTGCCACTCAGATTACAATAGAGCAGGGGTCTTCAAACTTGACAGCTTTAAGACTTGTAGACTTCAACTCCCAGAATTCCTCCTCCAAGTCATGTTAGCTCAGGAATTCTGGGAGTTGAAGTCCACGAATCTTAAACTTGCCAAGCTTGAAGACCCTTGTAATAGAGGAAGAAATTGCCAAATGTTTTGTTGACAAATGTTTTGTCAACCCTGGCTCTAAAATTGTTGAGTACCTAAACAATGTAGCAGTGATTGGCTACAGTCTGCAAGATCTAGAAGTACATAAAATGACCTTAGAACATATACAGTAGAATGGTATTGCCTCCCTCTCACTTAATAAGAATAGAAGAGTCATACAAAATCCATTGTTGACAGAAATAGTAGAAACCTTTAAATGATTCTTTTGAGACTGAACCAGCAGGTTAAGTGTAATTCCCCCTTTTGTTACAGACAAAAATGTATATGTGGCTGTTAACCAGATCAGTAGGTAGAAGGCGAGTGAGGAAGAAGTGGGTGGGAAGTCATATACAGTTTTCCTACTTCATTATGCCTACTTCCTTTGCCAGCTGCCTATTGGCTGTGCTATTTTTGGACATACAGGTAGTCCTTGACATACGACTGGTCATTTAACAACCATGACCATTCAAAATTACAGTGGGCTCAGAAAGAGTGCTCTCTAGTCAGAATCATCACTTTCAGCTACTTTCACTATTCAAACACCAAGTTATCAATTAAAGGAAAATTGGTACAAAATGTATTTAAATTTATTAGCTGCCTACCTCGAATCAACTCTGTGTGTCATACAAAGCTTGCAAAAAAAGAGAGAAAAACCAAAACCATAAAATCATAGAGACAGCTCAGACTGATATAATCTGATAAACAAATAAAGACAAGAAGTGTCTCAGATACCAGTCCCTACGCCATATGTTTTAAAATATTGCATAGATTTATTTATTTATTTGATTTGTCAATCGCTTACAAGATAATAGGTATAAGGATAAACATAGTTATGAATAAAAGAAATGAGTACATATAAGAAAAATAAATGAAACAACAGGATAGGGACGGTAGGCACATTGGCCCCCTACAGACCTCTTAGGAAAGGGGTGAGGTCAACAGTAGAAAGTCTAAGGTTAAAGTTTTGGGGATTTGGGGAAGAAACCACAGAGTCAGGTAGAGTATTCCAGACATTGACCACTCTGTTGCTGAAGTCTTATTTCCTGCAATCAAGTTTGGTGCAGTTAACCTCGAGTTTGTATCTGTTGTTTGCTTTTGTATTGTTATGGTTGAAGCTGAAGTATTCATTGACCGGTAGGACATTGCAATGTGTGATTTTATATACTATACTTAGATCGGACTGAAGACGGCATAGTTCTAGGTTTTCTAGGCCTAGAATTTCGAGTTTGGTGGCATAAGGTATTCTGCAACGAATAGAGGAGTGTAGAACTCTTGTGAAATATTTCTGGACTTTCTCAACTGTGTTAATATCAGATACGTAATATGGGTTCCAGACTGATGAGCTGTATTTAAGTATTGATCTGGCAAATGTTTTGTATGCCCTAGTTAGTATTATGATATTACCAGAGAAAAAGCTACGGAGGATTAGGTTAATAACTCTTAATGCCTTTTCGGCTATGTAGTTACAGTAGGCTCTAGCACTTTGGTCATTAGAGATGAGTCCTTGACAGAATTTGGATCATTAACAAGGTCTTGACTATTCAGCTTGTATTTTATTTTCTGATTTTTTTTGCCAATATGTAAGACAGAGCATTTATTTGTTGAGATTTGAAGTTGCCATTTGTTTGACCATTCTGATACATAGTCGAGGTCTTTTTGAAGGGTAGCAGTATTGTCAGTGGTGTTGAATAGCTTTACATCATCAGCGAAGAGAACACAGTTGCTCTTAATATGATCACAGAGGTCATTTATGTAGAGTATGAAGAGAGTTGGTCCTAGAACACTGCCTTGGGGGACTCCACTGTTGACAGGTACAGAATTTAATAAGATGCTCCCAATTTTGACTATTTGTTGTCTGTTTGACAGGAATGCTTCTATCCAGTTATGCAGTTGTCCAGAGATATAAGATTTTAGTTTTAGGAGTAGTTTGTCATGTACCACTGAATCGAAGGCTTTACAGAAGTCTATATAGATTGCATCTATTGCTTTGCCCTGATCGAGTTGTGTAGTCCATATGTTTTTGTAATGTAAGAGCTGCAGATTACAGGATAATTTTTTTCTGAAACCAAATTGTTTATTAGAGAGTGGGTTGTTTGTCTCTAAGTAGAGGATAATGGATTGGTTAATGATTCCATGACTTTACAGGTGATGCAGCATAAAGAGATTGGTCTGTAATTTTCAACTAGACTGGGGTCTCCCTTTTTGAAGATGGGGATGACCGTGGCTTGTGACCATAGTTTTGGCAAGGAGTTGGTCCTGAAAGATTTTTCAAAGATTATGCTTAGAAGTTCGGCTATGTCAGTGGATAGCTTTTTAAAGAAGTAGGCACATATTCTGTCCGGTCCAGTAGATAGAGATGGTTTTAGATTGCATAGTGCTTTTTCAACATTGTCTTCTGTAAAACTGATATGTATTAGATCATTGTAGTTGTCTGTGGTTCAACTAGGAAATACTGGGTATGATCCATTGCTGTTTACAAATACTGAGCCAAAAGAATGTGTTAAAGAGGTTGGCTTTAATGGTGTCGTTGCAGTCTTTACCATTAGGTCCTATCAGGGGTGGGATGGATCTTGAGTCTTTTAGTTTGTTGTTTACAAAGTTGTAGAAAGCGTGGGTGGAATTGGTGCGTAGAAGGTTTTTCTCTTGTTTAATGTGATAATTGGTACATTCAGTCTTTATCTAGTGGCATAAATTTTTGTATCGGCTTTTGATTCAAAACAAAGATGGTATACAATTCCATCAATATTAGCTGAAATCAGACTGCAATAAATGTTGGAAATGTCATGAAACAGAAGGAACATTTTACCACATTTGACATGTAAAAGAACTCAAAAATATTGGAAAGACATAGTAAAATGCAGAAAATTGTGATTTGAAATGAAATCACAATTTTTCCTAGAAGTAAATCTTAGAAAAAAAATCAAGAAAGATAATTTAAAGAGATACATGAGCAGCAAAAATAAACGAGACTCAACATTGGAAAAATACAATTCTAACAATATCTGACTGGGAACTTAAACTTGGAAAATATGCAGCTATGCTTAAACTAAACTTAATACTTATACAATAGAATTTTAACTAAATTTAAGAAGAATTGTTCCCATACATACAATATATTACTCAGCATGGCAAATATATCTGCTTATAGTCTGGCTTTTAGGGGCCCTGAATATAGAAATACTATACACTGCACAAAAAAATAAAGGGAACACTTAAACAACACAATGTAACTCCAAGTCAATCACACTTCTGTGAAATCAAACTGTCCACTTAGGTAGCAACACTGATTGACAATCAATTTCACATGCTGTTGTGCAAATGGAATAGACAACAGGTGGAAAGCATAGGCAGTTAGCAAGACATCCCCAATAAAGGAGTGGTTCTGCAGGTGGTGACCACAGACCACTTCTCAGTTCCTATGCTTTCTGGCTGATGGTTTGGTCACTTTTGAATGCTGGTGGTGCTTTCACTCTAGTGGTAACATGAGACGGAGTCTTCAACCCACACAAGTAGCTCAGGTAGTGCAGCTCATCCAGGATAGCACATCAATGTGAGCTGTGGCAAAAAGGTTTGCTGTGTCTGTCAGCATAGTGTCGAGAGCATGGAGGCGCGAGCAGGAGACAGGCCAGAACATCAGGAGACGTGGAGGAGGCCGTAGGAGGGCAACAACCCAGCATCAGGACCGCTACCTCCGCCTTTGTGCAAGGAGAGATAGGAGGAGCACTGCCAGAGCCCTGCAACATGACCTCCAGCGGGCCACAAATGTGCACGTGGCTGCTCAAATGGTCAGAAACAGACTCCATGAGGGTGGTATGAGGGCCCAACATCCACAGGTGGGGTTGTGCTTACGGCCCAACACCATGCAGGATGTTTGGCATTTGCCAGAGAACACCAAGATTAGCAAATTCGCCACTGGTGCCCTGTGCTTTTCACAGATGAAAGCAGGTTCACACTGAGCACGTGTGACAGACGTGACAGGGTCCGGAGATGCCGTGGAGAACATTCTACTGCCTGCAACATCCTCCAGCATGACCTGTTTGGCAGTGGGTCAGTAATGGTGTGGGGTAGCATTTCTTTAGGGGGCCGCACAGCCCTCCATGTGCTCACCAGAGGTAGCCTGACCGCCATTAGGTACCGAGATGAGATCCTCAGACCCCTTGGGAGACCATATGCTGGTGTGGTTGGCCCTGGGTTCCTCCTAATGCACGACAATGCTAGACCTCATGTGGCTGGAATGTGTCAGCAGTTCCTGCAAGACGAAGGCATTGATGCTATGGACTGGCCCGCCCGTTCCCCAGATCTGAATCCAATTGAGCACATCTGGGACATCATGTCTTGCTCCATCCACCAACGCCATGTTGCACCACAGACTGTCCAGGAGTTGGGGGGATGCTTTAGTCCAGGTGTGGGAGGAGATCCCTCAGGAGACCATCTGCCACCTCATCAGGAGCATGCCCAGGCGTTGTAGGGAGGTCATACAGGCACGTGGAGGCCACACACACTACTGAGCCTCATTTTGACTTGTTTTAAGGACATTACATCAAAGTTGGATCAGCCTGTAGTGTTTTTTTCCACTTTAATTTTGAGTGTAACTCCAAATCCAGACCTCCATGGGTTGCTAAATTTGATTTCCATTGATAATTTTTGTGTGACTTTGTTGTCAGCACATTCAACTATGTAATGAACAAAGTATTTAATAAGAATATTTCATTCATTCAGATCTAGGATGTCTTATTTTTGTGTTCTCTTTATTTTTTTGAGCAGTGTATATTAGATCAGTAGTTAGGATGGGACCAAGAGGAGTAAAAAAATGGGCATAATCTATTGATTGAAAAATATTAAGACTATAAATTGTGTGATGCTCAGTTTTATTTTTCTAGAAATCTGTACAGACTATTGGTGAAGAACAAGCTCAGAATCCGTATACTGAGCTTCTTGTGCTGAAAGGTCACCATGATATAGTGCGTTTTCTAGTGGCAATTGATGACTACAGGTGAGACATTACTTCTATACTCCTCATTTGCACTGTAAAGATGACTTCAATTATTTTTTAAAAATGCATCTTAATGTTTGCTTTCCCAAATTGAAAAATGTATGATGCTTAGTTCTTACATATAAATTGATAGCCTTTAGCTAAAACCCAATTAAAAGACATCTGTCAAAGATTTTGACAGAGCAAGTTGTATGATTTTAATTGCCATTAGCTTTCCCCATTTCACTGGAAACAGATGTCTCAGAATGCATTATTTCACAACAGCTATATACATTTCATAAGTTGTTTTCTTATCAGCAAACATTGGAAAGAGCATTTTACCCAAAACAAAAGATACCTTACTGGTTTTGGTGAGATAGAATAAACTGTACAAATTAGCTACATGTTATCAGTTATATCTCTCAGACACATCACACTTTATTCCATATTTTTGAAGAGCAGGTTGTGTTAAGTTTACACAGTGAAATGTAGTACAGAGTTTTAAAGCAAATTTGACATACTAAACTAAAATCATTTTTTGATAATATTTATTTAAAGAAGAATAATTTATACAGAAGAATATTACATCTTCCTTTAATTATAATACAATTTTATTTTCATTGTTCCTTATTCAGTCACTAGAGGATTTTTAACTTATTATTTTATTTGATTGCTTCCAAAACATTAGCATTGTTACTTGGCTTCTGAAACAATTTTATTTAGTTTTCATAATTCTTTGATTGCATTTTTGTCAACTGTTGTAAGCCAGGTTTCATGCTTCAGCTCTCTAGATAATTTCATCTTATTGAGAATTTTGCAGAGGGATTTTCTTGTTTTCTCTGTGGCTCAGCTAAAACCAGTGAGTGGAAAATTTTCTCAGATTGGTTTCTGAAGATACTAAATAAATCCTGTATCAACCTAACAGGCAGCTGCTTTTCACTTCTTTTCTTTTATGTTTTTGAACATGAAGAGAAGGTCATATTGATTGCAAGATCACTAAAGAAGGCTAAGCCTTAGCAAGCATCTTTCAAAAAATGGAATGAAATAAAATTGCAAGTAATACTCTAGCATTTGACACATTAAACTGGACTGAATTCGTAACACACTTTAAAAATTGCTTGTTTGATCATTTGGTGCTCCTCCAGGAAATAGACAAGATTATAGAGGATGGTGATCATGACTGGAAAAGAATCAGATGACCCATGAAACACCAACTTGGTGAAAAGAAATCCATTTGCAATATGAGATTGATCTGGCAGGGGAATGTCACATGAAAACCTGAGTTTCATAGTTTAATTATTTTTTTAAAAAAATCTAAAGCATTGTTCTTTATTGAGACATTAATTCTTTCTAGAAAATTTTAAAAAGTATAGCTATGCAACATAATGTGATAGTAATTCAGTATATAGTTTCAGAATTAAATTTAGCTTGTAGCAGGCTAGTGTTTCTTATCTGGATTCAGTGTTTTAGATGACTATTTTGACCTTGTTATAACAAAGGAATGCAGAGGTGCTAGAAATGGAAGCCTGATCATATAAAAATATAATACACATTTTATTTATTCAATAATAACATGATCTCATTTTGAAGATTTAAGTAAACTTTCTAAGGTTCAGTTCATTTATGTCTTTGTATATATCTGTCACTGGTCTATTTAAATAATGATTATCAATGACCATTTTTATTGCTTTTTTGTAATGTAATTACAGAAGTCTTCAATATTTGTTTTCATTACTAGGTTTGCATCTGCTGGTGATGATGGAATTGTATGTCTCTGGAATGTCCAGGTTTGTTTTGAAAATTAAAAATTGTTTATAAAAATATCCATAGATATAGATTGGGTGATGTTTAAATTCACAACTTGCTGAAACATAAAATTAGCTATTATTTGTATTCCAAAGATTTATAACAGAATCATTATTGCAGAAGCAGAAATATAAATTTAAAAATGCAATCTGCAGGTCATAATAAAGAACATGGGTTTGTGAATGTAATTTATAGTTGAAAAGGTGAAGATGAAATGGGCATTTAGATTATCAATAACTTTACATATGTGCAGTATTAGAATATTTGTGCAGAAATGGTTCAATTACATGTTTTTCAATACTGTTAACAAATCAGTGAACTATTTTTTAATTTTATATGACCAGACACTTATGCAGTACAGGTAGTCTTTGAGTTATAATAGCAATAGGGACTAGGAGTGAGATAGCTCAGCTAGATGATCCTAAAGCATGACATCATGCGATTGCATTGCTTAGCAATGACAATACATGCAGTCCCATTTATTGTTGTAACCCCAGGATCTTGGGTTGTTTATCAGGAATCACAGGGAGTCCCAGGTACAGGCTGTTGGGGTATTGGGGGGGTACTGGAGGAGATTGGGGGAGGCCTGCAAGGCCTGGCACAGGTACACATAAGTTGTGGGAGGGAGTGCTATGAGTCACTAATTGCTCATTTATAATCGGACCTCAACTGTGTTTATTACTTTGCTTCAGTTTTCCTTCCCCCCTCCCCTCCACCATTTTGAATGTTCATCCAGGCGCTGGTATAATTAGAAAGAAAGGAGTTATTGTTTGTATTTACATTCATTAGAGAGAAGGGGATTGCAAGAGAGTAAGTAGACATACAATAGGAAATACACATAGGAAGAAATGTGCTCGCGCCAGCTGTTTGCCTAGCTTGTGCATGGCTCCCTGCTCTGAATACGCCAGGCAAACAGCTGTTGCTATTCTCATTATGTGTCTGCTTTCTCTTTGTCATTTCTTCCTCTCCAGTCTCTCTATTCTGTGAGGGAGAGGGGATAAAAACAATGGGTCAGTCACAGCAGAAATTGCCTTAAAAATTGCTTAAGCAATCTCGCCACTCTGCAAGAGAGGGAAAAAAGAAAAAAAAACCATCAGGCACAAGACAATGCGTACTAACTGTAATGTCAAACTTGTGGCTGAGAGAGACATGCTGGTCACAGACTTACATTTTCAGCACCATCATATTTTTCAGCACCTTGGAAGGGTTGCTGCACCAAATCTACAGTACTTGTCGATGTCAGAGTAGGTCGAAGCAGATCTTTCACCTGTTCCTTGTGTGGCTGCCTGGCCTGTCTACCAGTGGCTCTTGATCCTTGAATGTAATGAATATGGAGTTTTCTTTCTACTTTTGTACTCACAAATGTGCTGCTAGATATTTCAAAAATAGAAGCATTTTATAGTTGATACATGGCTTAATCTGGATTGTATTGAGTAAAAGGCATTTTATCACAGAATCAAGCTTCTTAAGAATGTTGATTTCCTTTTTTTCTTTTTCTTTTTAAAAAGCATTTGAAGTCTAAACTAGTAAAAACAAACGTATTCTGTTCAAAGTGCCAACTAAATTTAAGAAGTCAGAGCAAAAATTTTAATTGGCTTCTGGGTTCTGCGTATCTCTTCATTCTTTTCCATACCTGGCGTTAATACAATAAATCATTTTAGTTAATATAAACACAAATCAAATACAATAACCTTTTTTAAAATTACCTATTTTGTATTACTAAGATAATTCAACTTTCTAGTATAAGAACACTGGTACGTTTTTAGAAAAGGCTCTAAAATTGTATTTTTGAAAAGGCAAAATGCACTTCATATGGGGCATTGAAATATGCCTGGTGAAATATACAAATATTTTTCAGATTTTGCTGTAAGAATAGTAACAAAGGAATTGAAAGTCATCATTCTGGGGTAGATTTTCATTCATTCATTCATTCATTTTGTATTGCCACCCATCACATGCCACCCATCTTATGTTTATGACCCCATACACTATCTATGATATTGTTGGAAAAGATCCTGCCTGAAATTTTGAGAGCTTTTACCCACGCAATGCTGATTAACCTTCCTTAGCCTACCATTATCCAGATGTATTTTCTGTCACCTAATGTAATCGTTAGCTTACGGTGAACAGATTGATAGGATTTTCTGGAAAATAGCAGCAGGTGAGGGAAGGTTAATGGAGCAGTTATTTGCATTGTATAGTATCAGTTCTCATTTTGAGCATTCTGATTACAGTAGTTGTATTGTTTCTTCATAACACATGTTTCTGTGTTAATTTAGCACTGTTGTTATAACACCAAGTTTGTTTTTGTTTTTCAGACTGGAGAAAAGTTATTTGAGCTACATGCACATACACAAAAAATCACAGCTCTTGCAGCTTTTCCTTTGTCAGATACCTGTGAAGAAAAATGCCATATGATTTTGACAGCAAGTGCTGACAGAACTGTAGTTGTATCCTTTACTTTTTGACTAGAGAAATGCAGAATTGGTTTGTGTTGCATAATAAATGGTGCATATGACTCATAGTGTTATTACATCAAAGTTTGGAGTTTTAATGAGCAAATTGCTATAAAACTGCTATAAAAGCAATTTCTATGACAAATTGATTAGTGGCTAAAGAGGACAATGATAAGATGCAGTTGTGAAAACCTGGTTTACTCTGCACAAATCTTCATTGCATGGACTTTGCAAGGCTGTTGGTGATAATTAAGAATCTTCAGGTTGAACAATAAAAAGTCTTAGGAAAAGATTTTGCATATTTGCATACCTGGTAACTTCTCTTACAATAAGGAATTAAATTCTACAGGTGTCTTCTTCCATTATACCACATTTTGTGTGATAGCAAGAGGCTCAAGGAAACACTTTTGCATAGGATATAACTGTGGGAAATAAAATCATATCTAACTGGTTTCTCAATGTTATGCCTCAATTTTTTTAAATTATAAGATATATAAGAAATTTCAGCTGTTATTCTTAGTCCTTAATGATTGAAACCAGGTTTGGGATTGTGACAATGGCAGACAGATTCACAAAGTATCCTGTTTTCATTCCACCGTAAAGGTAAGTAAAACTGTGATTTTTTTTCCTATTTAATTTATTTGGATCATCGGTGTCAAACTCGCGGCGTCATGTTGCCATCACTTGATGTATCATGACATTACCCCCCTTCATGCAGCTGGGGTGGAGGTGGCCTGCACATGACGCATCTGCCCCAAGGGCCGCCAGTTTGACACCCCTGATTTAAATTTTAATCCTACACTGTCAGTTTTAAGGTTGAAGTTGTATATTCGTTACATACTATGAATCCAATCACAGCTAACAAATTTGCATGTTTTGGTGTTTGCCTAATCTTGTCCAATCATAGATACTTTGGGTTCCTTTTTACATACCTTTAGAGTTCAGTGAACTATATATGTTCAAACTTCTTAGTTAGAGCCATTGCACATTACCATAGAATGGATTCAATCACTTTGTCCATTTGCAAGAATATTAATCACTATTATAAATATCTTTGTATAATCTTGGAAGCCTATGGTTTTCAACCAATGTATTCTTGATTACTTCTCAAATTATATCTTTGAAATTATGGTGGAAGATTCCTTTAAGTGTGCAAACACATGCTTCTATCATTTATTAGGCAATTGCTTGAAATTCTCATTTAACGACCACAATTGAGACCAGAATCTTAATTGCTGAATGAAGCAATCATTAAACTCATGACTGCTTTGCTCAACAACTACAATCCCAGCACTACTAGTTGCAATCATTAAGTGATCTCCTGGGTCTTTTGGATGGATCAGAAGACCTGCCTGTCTTTCATTCTTAAGCTTTCCCGCAGCCACCAAAGGATTTCAGCTCCCCTCTGCGTACTGAAGGGAGATCCTTCAGCAGGCTGCAGGTACGGAGGTGAAATCTGGAAGGATTTCAGCTTCCCTTTGTCAACTTTGCTTGCAACCTTCCTGTTTTCATCTCTCTTGATTTCCTGAGAAAGCTGGCAGAGAAGATAGGAAATGACAACCACATGATCGTGGGGCTCTTGGTAATCAGTTATAAATGTGAGCCAGTTTTCCAATGCCCGAAATGTGGTCATGTGACCAAGGGTGTTGTGCAATGTTTTATGAGAGCCAGAAATGCTTTACAAGCCACAAAGCAGTCTTTAAAAACCGGTGTAACTTTGAACGGTCGTTAAAACAACTGGTCATAAATTAGGACGTTAAACAAGTAATCATAAATTAGTTTTAAGCTTCTGTCTGACACAGAATGTGGAAAGCGATGTCAGTATTGGTCTTTAATATTAATACTTTTCAGGTGGCAGTACTGAGGTACTATCTGGTAACTTCTCTCTCATGTAAAATCTTAATTTCAGTTTTGTGCATTTAATGTTGACCTATTTGAAAAACCTGGAACATCTCTAGGACTAATTATTTTTGTGGTATTCAAAGTCTCATTTTGAGTTGCTTTCTTTTAAACAAAATTGGGCAAGGGATATGAAAACATTCTTCATGTGATATTGTCTTGACAAAAAAAATTTTTCAAAGATTTGAAAAATATAGATTGCAATCCTGCTTAATTTGAAAATAAGAGTTATTGAATGTAAGGGAACAATGACTCAGAGGGTTAAAGATGCTGAACTTGTCAGCTGGAAAGCTGACAGCCTGGGATCAAGATCTGAGTCCTGTGTGACCTAGCAGTTTGAAAGCATGCAAATGCAAGTAGATAAAAAGGTACCACTTCCATGGGAAGATAATTGCATTCTGTGTGCCTTGGCATATATTCATACTGGCCACATAACCATGGAAATTTCCTTGGACAATGCTGGCACCCTTAGCTAAGAAATGGACATGAGCATTGCCCCCTAGAGTCAGGTATGTCCAGATAGGGAAAACCTTTACCTTTTTGCCTTTGAGAAGACACACATTCAACTGCATTTATAATTCAACATGATCTTGAAATATTAGAATTTCCTTTTTTCCCTTTTCCCCTTTCTGCTTCATAAACTGCGTAAAGCTGTATAAATGATTATAAATGTTACTGGGAGGGAATTAAATGCTTTAGTATCTAAATGTTACTAGGAAATTGAATGTTTTAGTATCTAAACTTGATAATTTTATTTGAAA